CCCCCCCAGGGGGGATGGCCACGCTGCAATCCCTTCTCCTCCATTCTCCTCTCAGGATCTTGGACACACACACACACACACACACACACACACACACCCAGCGTGAGTTTAAGCCACCGGGTCTGGGCCTCAAACCACAATCGACTACATGGGAGTCCAGCTACATAGCCATTACGCCGACTGCTGGTTCCGTATCATGACTTTTCTGAGACCCAATACACATTTGAGTTTAGGGACAAGCAGCCGCTACCAGTGGGTCACTGGAAAGAAGCCATTTCTTCTGAAACAAGGTGGGAGAAACAGAAAAGGATGATGCGCCTCCCGGGTGGCTCTGCTGCGACCCTCCTCTCCGGGAAGTGACTGACAAGCACTCGCACTTGGCTCAACCCTTAAAGCAGGGTCAGGGGGTCTCTGAGCTGTTCCCACGGAGGAACTGAGCTGTTCCCGATGCTATCGCAGACCTACCATGTTTTAAGAAGACAAATCAACAGAAAAGACGAAAGGGGGCCAAGCAAAGCCCTAACGGGATTTTCCAGGCCAGTTGCACCATCTTTCCATCTTCCCTCACTGCCCTCCCCGCACCGACAGCCACTTTTGTAGACTGAAGGGCAGGATCCCAGCAGAACCCCCAGTTCCACGGCCAGGGCTGGGGTGGGGGTGACAGATATAGAAAGGCCCTGTTAGAAACGGTGATTCAGGAGGAAGTCAACTGACCCGATTAATTTTAGTTTTTCTTTGGTTTGTGCTAAAAATATCTTTGAAAAATAAAATCAAGCGGGTTCATCACCAGCCGTTTTATTCTCGGAGTGGGGGACACACGGGCGCCTTTGGCAAGGGTGTCGCTGCTCTAAGAATAAAGCTGTGTGCGGCCCTGGTGGTGGCTCTGCACCGGGGCGGGGCCTCTGTCTGCTCACGGGGCGGCTGGCTGAGGAGACAGATTTGGGCTGACCCAGCACGGTGGATGCTTCTGAAACGGACTGGCATTCAGCAGCCTTGGGAGGGGAGGCGCTACTGGTCACTGCGTGACGCTGGCTGGACAACAGTGGAGCCGGAACGCCTCTGCCTGGGCCTCAGAAATGGGTGCAGGGGGAGGCAGGCTTCCCTCAGGGCTCTGTGATGAGCAGCTGACGCCTTGACTCAGGCTATCTCCAGGGATACGATCATTAAGAAAGGCTCAAATGCTGCCACCGACAGTGGTGATCAGCTGTAGGCAGTCACCGGGACAGAGCGAAGGTGTGGCGGGCGAGGACGTGCACGCCCTCCTGCTTCCACCGCCTACCAGCTGTGTGTCCTCCCCCAAGTTACTCAGCCTCTCTGTGCCTCGGCTCTGATGGTCAACTGGGACAGCAGCCATCGGACAGGGTTGTTGGGGGGATTAGATGAATTAATATTGGTGAAGCACTGAGGAGTGGGGATCACATGGGAAGAGCCTCAATAAAGGTAGCAACATCAGAAGTAGCAGTTGACACTCACCCTATAGGGGTGGTGGCTAAGACTTCTCTAAGCAATGGGGCTCTCATTGGCGCAGGGTTAAGTCCAGGAGAGCTGGAGGCAGATGTCAGGCCACGTCCCGCGAGACTAAGGGCTGGAGCCTGAGTCCTAAAGTCTGGTCCCCAAGGCGCACCTGTCCTTGCTCTCTGATCATCTGGGGTACTTGTGGCTGCCCTGGTGGAGGGTGCGAAGGGCACAGGACCTGCTCCCCACGTCAGCGGACTCCTGGCTGCCCAGTCACAGGACTGGGTGAGGCCACTGTCTCCCCTGCAGAGGCCAGAGGTCCTTGGCCTCTTCTTTCTAAGAAAAAGGGTGGGAGGGGAAGTCCCAGGGTCCAGGGGAATGGGGCTCACAGAGCAGGCTGCCTCTCTGGACTCACCACTTTGGGCTTGAACGGTGGCTGGATCTCCCGGTTCTCCAGTTTCTCCCAGTCGATCCTCCGGAAGAAGGCGTGTTCTCGTACATCCCTCTCGCCCTCGGGGCCGCAGCCCAGCCGCTTGGCCGGGTGTTTGGTCATCAGCTAGAAAGCAAAGGGAGGGAAGAGAAGGCTGGTTGGCCAGGGTGTCCGGAGACAGCGTCTTCCCTTCTCCCGGCTCTGCCCATGGTGCTGACCGTGTGGACCCAGACGGCACCCCAAGGCGCTTATCAAGGAACTCAGTGGCTTGTGCGACTGGCACCAATGAACGTCATTATGTGACGCTGACAAATGTCTTTCTACAGTGAGTTCCAAGATAAGGAAACGGGGACACAAGAACTGAGATGGGTACCTGTGTCAGAGCTGCTTTCTACGTGCGCTCCTGGTGGGGGCATGCTATCGCCACGCCAGACCACACCGAAGGTCCCAGATAGAAAGTGAATGTAGTACCAAGGAAGGCGGCTACATTCCTTCATTTATTTTTTTAATTGCCAGAGGGCATGTGCAATTGCTAGAGAGATATAGAGAAGGAGAAAACCCCCCTTGATGGGGGGTGGTCATGCTGCGATTCCTTCTCTTCCATTTTCCATCCTGTCGGGGTTCTGAACATGCACACACACATGCTTTTTTTTTCTTTTTAGTTTTTTTTTTTTTCCCAGTTTTTGCTATAGGGCACATACACTCACCAGAGAGAGAGAGGGAAAGTGAGAAATCACCTTTTGGGGAGGATGGCCATGCCACAGTCTCTCTCCTACACTTTCTTCTTCGGATTTTGGGAAGACATGCACACGTGCCCAGTGTAATTTTTAAGCTGTCAGGTCCAGGACTCAAACCATGAAGCTGATCATGTGGGATCTAGTGCCTTAACCTCTGTGCCACCTGCTGACATGATGCGCAGAGGGTTTGTCAAGCCACCAGAGCCAGGATTCGAACCATGTTCAGCCATGTAGGATCCACCGCCATGAACCACTTGGCTATGGGGCTGGCCCAATGACTAGTTCATCTCAGCGTGCCTATGTGAGGACATGGAGGGGAACGCTGACAGCTCTGTGAAGGCAGGAGATCCCAGGGTCAGGAAGAACGGGCCTCTGCCTTCACTCCAAACGCATGCCCCATGCTCACAGCAGTTTTGTTGTCACAACCTGCAGCTACAGTGGAGGGAACCAGACGCTCACTGTAGCAGGAGGGGCCGGCTGTGCCATGTTCACACAGGGAACCCAGCAGCTACGTTAAAGGACCAGTACACACAGCAATGTGGGTCACCCCACAGTCACACTACCGAGGCAAAGAAGCCAGTCCCAGGAGCACCCAGTGTGAGATCCTGTCTGCAAAGTCAAACAGGCGAGGTTGTGCCAAGCACTAGCTAAGGGACCAGCAGATGGAGTAATGGTTATGTCACTGGACTCTGATGTATCGACCATGGTTTGAGTCCTGGACCCTTTGGGTTACAACTCATGCCAGGCACGCATGCGTGCATGCCCAAAATCCTGAGAGGGGAATGCAGGAGAAGGGATTATGATATGGCCATCCCCCCTGGGGAGGAGGAGATGATTTCTTGCTTTCTGTCTCTCTGGTGAGAGTACACACCCGATAGCAAAAACAAAACCAGAAACAAACAAAAACACTCTCTCTATATCTATATCTATCTATCTATCTATCTATCTATCTATCTATCTATCTATCTATCTATAAAAGAAGCGGAGATGCTGATGGTCTCGGGGAAGGTAGTGACTGAGATGGGACAGGAGGGGTTTCAGGGTGCTGGAAACATTATTTCTGGACCTGGGTGCAATTACACAGGTCTATTCATTTTGTGAATGCTGACTGATCTATCAGTCATGGCCATCGTTGCCAGAATGTTCCATCTCAAAATAATAGAAACAAAGTCACTCATGAGTCACAGCAAGTAAGGCAAGGGACTAAAGCTTTCCCAGGGCCTGAGGGTACTTCTAGTACCCCTACGGCAACCGTGTGAAACGGGTCGGAGACGACAGAGTTTCAACCCGCCCTCTTAGCCTTTGCTTTTTCTGCGACACCCTGCACGTCACCGAACACAGGGTTTGGTGGCACTTGCCATCTCTCTTAGCAGTGTAGAGGAGGCATGACCCTTCTCAACCCTTTTGGCCCATAATCCCAGAAGGAATTCTACTCACTCCTTTGCAGATGGACACGGCCTCCTTGGACAGGGACTTTGGGTAGGAGACGTTGTGCTCCATGATAGACTGAAACAGCTCATCCTCATCCTCGCCGTCGAATGGAGGCTGTTCCGGAAGAGAAGGATGGGGCAGTATGCAACTTGTTAACATGAGGTCTGACGATCCGATTCGGCGCTCAGAAACAGACCGCGGTTCTGAGCACACCCCAGGCTGCAGCGTTAGCTCAGTTACTGTGTGGATTTATTTGATTAGCTTTCATTAAGTTGGTGGGTTGTGCGGTGTTTCATTTTCCTCCTCTGTCCCTTTAATTATCTTGCCCTGGGCAACTCAAAGCAACCTTCGGAGAATGTTTTTGAGTAATGCTTTTAATGATTTGCAAATAAATTACAATGAATCCATTAATCTTGTAATATTTTTGCTACAAATCGAATGATAATCAAGTTAAGTTACAGATGGGCTTTGTATTGGGAAGATGGGGGTGAGGAGAGAATACAAACACTTTTACTGGGGGTGAAGAGACTTGGGAACCTGGGCAGAAAGGATGGCCCTGGCCCAGGAACTCACAAGGGAACCTCTGACCCAGTGAGGCACTGCTTGGGGGGTACCTGCACCGTGACAGCAGTGGGGCTTGGCTTCAACTGGACGCACCTCCCATGTCCCCTTCTGCTGAGAGGGAGGCGCGGTGGCGCGGTGGGAGGTCACGGCTCAGGTAGATCTGCAACCCGGATTCTAGCTCTCTGACTTCCTGGCTGGGTCTCCACAGGTAAGTAATCAGCCGCCTTAAAACTCAGTTTCCGGGCTGGTCCCTGGAATAGCGGTTAGGCCTGGTACGTAGAATGTTGGGACCACAGGGCTGACTGGTTCACATCCGGCCTGGTGACTTAAAAGACACGCTGGGCATGGGTGCGTGCATGCCCCACATCCCAGCAGGATGGTGAAATGGAGGCAAGAGGATTGTGGGGTGACCATGCTCCACTGTAAGTGCTTTCTCTGGGGAGCACACACACCTCTGGCAATAAAACAAAAACGGTTTCCAATCGGTAAAGTTGGAGGGTATGTGAAGCACCCGCTATGCTGCATTGTACCAGGGAAGTGCCCAGTGAAGGGTACTTGGCAGTTTGCTATTCAGGGGAAAAAATCTCTAGGGAAGGGCTGTGAGAACCTCCTGGAAGGGAGGCTTTGCTGGGGATGCCCTGTGAGCTTCTCCTCCAGCTTGTCCTTGATCCTGAGGGAACCATCTCATCACTGCCACTTGGGCATGGCACAGGAGGGATGGATGGATGGGAAATTTCCGAATGTTTCCTCTGGCTCAGCTAACCTTGAACTTAGCATAAAAACGGCCCGGCAGCTTGAAACTCATGCTGGGCATATGTGCATGCATGCCCAAAATACCGAGAGGAGAAAGGATTGCTCCATGGCCAACCACCCCCCACATCTGAGGGGCGTGATTTCTCACTTTCTCTCTCTCTCTGTCTCTCCAGCAAGCACACATGTCCTATAGAGAAAAAAATATATATGTATATAAAATAAAATAAAAGGCAGGGAGACCTGGGGGGCAGCCCTTGTATAGAGTCCTCTGTGTCAAATCTTGTTGGGCTTCCTGTGGAAAGGAGTCGTCAGTCACTCTGGCTGACATAGTTAGGGTTCGGATACTGACAGCACGTGGCTTCAGTTAAACAGTATCATGGTTTGGGGTGTGTTGGGGAGCTGTAGCCAGTGGGGTAGCCCTTATCATCAACATTCTCCACCTGAGTAAGACAGAGTGATTGAACCAAGTAGATCCCTCCGCCCAACCACCCTCACAAGTCCTCCCGACCTGCCACTGGACACCCCGTGGTCTGACCTTGTCCTCAGCCTTGCGCCTGGCTCTGAGCAGGAGCTCCTGCAGGTCAGTTCATGATACCCCCCACCCCAACCAGGGAAAGATGCCAAGTCTGCCAAGGGCCCAACCGGGGACCAGGTGCGGGAGAACGGAGGGTTCAGTGACTAGTACCACTTGACCTTGCTGAACTTATTTTGGGGTCAGGAAATAGAAATAAACAGGCTTCTTTTCCAACGGCAAGAGCCTGGTGTAAAGTGTTGACTTTGGTGCGAGGGTGCAGGTGGGTGAGGAGAACTAGAATTAGCTGCCTGTGAATTACTCAGAGCAGGGCAGGGGCAGCCTGCCACGGCGAGCTTCCACAGCAGAGCGACATGGTGCATGGAAGCCCATAGGGAGGTCAGGGGTGAGGGCGTTGCTTCCTCTACAGAAGGCAGAGTAGCACGGGGGTGGGGTGGGGGTGGGTACAGCGGAGGCCAGTCCTGCCGTCCCTCTGCCACTCCTTCTCTGTCCAGTATCATGCAGCCTACTTCTGACACTTGCTGTGCGAGGGGTCTTTAAAAGTTTACGGAGGGCCAACCCTTGGCGTGTTGGTTAAGGAAGCTGGATCCCACATGGCCAACGCCATAGTTCAGGTCCCGGATCCAGTGGCTTAAGAAACATGCCAGGCACATGCATATGTGCCCCAGAATCCTCAAATGAGGGAGATGGAAGAGAATGAATTGTTGTTAGTGACTGTCTCTCCTCCCCCAGAGGGGTGTTTTCTTACTTTCCTTCTCTCTTGAGAGTGCATGCACCCTCTGGCAAAAAGCAAACAAAAAAAAAAAAAAAAAGGAAAAACTCATGGAAAACACATAGTATGAAAAAATCACACATGGATTTCAAAAATTTTTGCACCAAAATAAACTTGTACTTTAATTCCATTTTCCACGAGCTTTCATTTTTGAAGTCTCCTCCTATGACTCCCACAAAGTTCCTTTTCCCTAATAAGTGATCCATAAATGGGGCCAAGTTTGGGCTGAGGAGAATTTCACAGATGAAATAAGTGGGTGGTTCCGGCTCAGGGCCTTGAGCTGCCACCCGGGGTCTCCCAGCCCTGTGCACCCGTTGCATGCACATTCTCCACCATGTGATGGCGCCCCGGAGGCGGGCAGAGGCTCTGCTTCCCATCACCAGTCAACACCTCACTGGGGCCTCTGGTCACCACTGGGTTTGTGGGTCTCAGTGCAAAATGAAAATGAGGGGTCCCTTATTTAAAAACTATTAGGAATTTCAAGATGGTGGGAGCACAGCATTGAACCAAATGCTCAGGTCTCTTCTGGGCTTGGGTCCTGTGTGACTGCATAGGGACACAGCAGTGAGGCTGCACAACTGAAAAGGACTGTTCTGGGACAAAAGGTGGAGAGGCAGGCCCGGTGCAGTGGTGGAGGTGGTGGGGCACTGCTGGGCGATATTGGAGCCAGGTGGAAAGGCCAAGACCCAGCTACCGGGCCAACCTGTGATCCTGGCTGGCGAGGAGGGGGATTGTTGTGTGGGAAGACCCTGTCAGGGGTCCCTCCTCTCTCCCTCCACCAGCCCCCCCATCATAAAATAAATAAACTCAAAACAAGCACAAATGAGCAAAGGTGGAGAAGCAGCTAAGCGCCTCCCCCAGCTTTGGAATGCCATCAAGTCCAACACATACTTTTCCTGCTCTGTTCCCTCTGCTGCAGACGTAGACTAGTTGTTACTATGAGAAAATATAGGACCAGCAGTTGGCGTAACGGCTATGTCACTGAACTCCCATGTAGTAGACTGCAGTTCCAGTCCCATACCTGGTGGCTTAAACTCAATCTGGGCACGTGTGCATGCGTGCCCAAGATCCCGAGAGAGGAATGGAGGAGAAGGGATTGTGGTGTGGCCATCCCCCCTGGGGGCAATTTCTCGCTTTCTGTCTCTCTCAGTCTTTCTGGTGAGTGCACGCACCCTATAGCAAAAAAAAAAAAGAAAAGAAAAGAAAAAGAAAATACATACAGCATACTTTAGCATCGTAATCACTTCCAAGCATATAGCTCTGGGGTGTTATGTAGTTCATAAGCACCACACCCCTCTAGAACTTTCTCACTTTCTCAATGCAAACTCTGCATTCATTAAACACAACTTCTCACCCTCTCCTTACCCCAGGTCCCAGCAAGCATCGTTCTAATTTGTCTGTGCGAATTGGACCACAGTGGGATGATAATAATATATATCCCTTTGTGACTGGCATATTATTTTTTAAAAAGAATCATTTAATTTTATTTATCATCATTATTTTTAAAATGTGACCAGAGAGAGACAGAGGGAAAGCGAGAAAGCAAACCACCTGGTCTGGTGCCTGAACCACAGTCTGCTGTGTGGAAATCCAGTGTCCTAACCCCCATGGCCCCCGTGACTGGCTTATTTTAAGATATAGGCCATTTTCATCCTCACTGTGCTTTGGGTATCAGTAAGGGCAGGCTGCTTCCACTGTGGTAGCTAACAGCCAAGAGCACCTCCAGTGCTTGGCACGACACTGCTTCCTTGCCCATGCACATGCCCACTGGGGTCAGCACAAGGCCGTGCTCAGTGTAGTCACGCAGGGACCTGTCCTGACGGTGCAGCGGTAGAGGGGCCAGGAGCTGGGGGCGTCTTACACCCTGGAGACCCTCCACTGGTATCTGGCCCACCAGCCCCAGTCACATGGCTGCAGCTACTGGGCCAGGAAGCATGGCCCCACTGTGTGCTAGAAGACCAGCTCGGCCTGTTGAACAACAGTTGGGGCCGTCATATTCAGAGAAGCCCCCGGAGCCCTATTTTCAATTAAAATTACACAACTGGGGAGAGACAAAGTCCATGAAAGCAGCTATATTCCCTTTACCTGAACAGAAAAGTAGCTCTTATTTTATTGTTTATTGTCAAAATGTGCAGGTACTTTCCATAGAGAGACAGTGCCCTCCCCAGTGAGGCACGGGCATGCTGCCATCCTTTTCCCCAAATTCTCCAGCCCATCAGGATTTTGGGCACGCACCCACGCACACACCCAACATGTTTTTCAATCTGCCAGAGCCAGGGTTTGAACTGAAGCCAGCCACGTGAGATGGAGCTCTGCACCAGGGCTTACCCTGCTGAGCTACATAGCCGGTTCCAAACTGCTCTTCTATTTAAGTGGATTCTTAGTGTTTCTTACATTATTTTCAGGTGACGATGTATATTTGGAGTTCCTTGTTTTCCTGTAGCCACCATTTGCCCGCTCAGAGCTGAGTGCCCCGGAGGTGATAAATCAACA